GGGCAGTCCTACTTCCGTAGTGATACTGCCTCGGAAACCCAAGGAGGGGTCGCTATGAGTCGGGGCCGACTCGACGGCAAACAACAACAACAACAATGTGTATATATATTTATACCTGTATGTTGGTGGTGGTTGTTACGTGCCATCGAATCATCTCTGACTCATAGTGACCCTATGTACAACAGAACGAAACACTGCCTGGTCCTGTGTGAGCCCTGTGATCCCTGCTACCTGAGCCCATTGTTTCAGCCACTGTGTCAATCCATCTCATTGAGGCCTTCCCGCTTTTCCTCGACCCTCCACCTTACCAAGCATGATATCCTTTTCCAGGGAATGGTCCTTCTGACAACATGACCAAAATAGGTGAGAAGTCTGGCCATTCTTGCTTCCAAGGAGCATTCCGGCTGTACTTCTCCAGGACAGATTTGTCAGTTCTCTTAGCAGTCCATTGTTCTTTCATCATTCTTCGCCAGCACCACAACTCAAAGGTATGGACTCTTTTTTGGTCTTCCCTATTCAATGTCCAGCTCTCAAATGCATACGAGGTGACTGAAAATACCATTAGGCACACCTTAGTCTTCAAGGAGATGTCTTTGCTCTTCAGCACTTGAAAGAGGTCTTTTGCAGCAGATTTGCCCAATGCAATATGTCGTGTGATGTCTTGACTGCGACTTCCATTGGTGTTGATTGTAGAACCAAGTAATACGAAACCTTTGACAATTTCAATCTTCTCTCCATTTATCATGATACTGCTTATTGGTCCAATTTTGAGGATTTCTGTTTTCTTTATATTGAGGTGCAATTCATACTGCAGACTGTAGTCTTCAGTCTTCATCAGTACCATCAAGTCATCCTCACTTTCAGCAAGGAAAGTTGTGTTGTCTGTGTATAGCAGGTTGTTAATAAGTCTTTCTCCAATTCTGATGCCATGTACATATATTGCAGATTAAGTAAGCAAGCACAAATGGAGGGGAAGATAGATGCTACATTTTGGTCAAGGAGCCTAGGAATAGAAGCTAAAAAGAGACAAAGATTTCTCCCCCAGAATAGATAGAAACTTCCCCTAGCAGTGGTACCCTGAATTCAGACTTCTAGTCTAGAAGGTTTCAACAGAGCTTCCAGACTAAGATAGACTTGGAAGAAAGAAGGGCCATCCACGTTTAAAGAATTGGCCAGTGAAAATATTATGAGTAACAGTCAAACACTGTCTGATATTTTACTAGAAAACTTCGTGAATAGCCTGAAACATTGTCCAATATAGGGCCAGAAGATGAGCCTTTCAGGTTGGAAGGCACTCAAAATATTACTGGGGAAGAGCTGCCTCCTCAGAGTAGAGTTGACCTTAATGACATGAATAGAATAAAGCTTCTGGGACCTCCATTTACTGATTGGCACAACTCGAAATGGAAGAAACAGCTGCTAATTCCATTAACAATCAGAACGTGGAACGTATGAAGGATGAATCTACAAAAATTGGAAGTTGTCAAAAATGAATGGAACACATAAAGATTGATATCCTAGGCATGAGTGACCTGAAATGGACTGGTTTTGGGCCATTTTGAATCAGACAACCATATGAGTTATTATGCTGAGAGAGACAAATTGAAGAGGAATGGTGTGGTATTTATTGTCACAAAAAATGTTTCAAGATCTCGAGGTACAATGCTGTCAGTGGTAAGACAATATCCATATGTCTACAAAGAAGACTAGTTAATAATACTATTATCCAAATTTACACACCAAACACCAAAGCCAAAGATGAGGAAACTGAAGATTTTTACCAACCTCTGCAGTATGAAATTGATCAAACATGCAATCAAGATGTATTGATTATTACTGGTGATCGGAATGCAAAAGTTGGAAACAAAGAAGGATCACTGGTAGTTGGAAAATATGGCCTTGGTGATAGAAATGATGCTGAAGAATGCACAACAGAATTTTGCAGGACCAGCAACTTATTCATTGCAAATACCTTTTTCAACAAGATAAATAACAGCTACAGATGTGCACTTCACCAGATGGAATACATAGGAATCAGATTGACTACATCTGTGGCGAGGGGTGATAGAGAAGCTCAATATCTTCAGCCAAAACAAGGCCAGGAGCTGACTGTGGCACAGAGCATCAATTGCTCATATGCAAGTTCAAGTTGAAGCTGAAGACAATTTAAAAAAGTCCATGAGAGCCAAAATATGACCTTGATTTTATCCCTCCTGAATTTAGAGACCACCTAAAGAATACATTTGATGCATTGAACACCAATGACTGAAAACCAGAGGAATTGTGGGGTGACATCAAGAACATCATCCCTGAAGAAAGCAAAAGGTCATTAAAAAGAAAGGAAAGGAAGAAAAGACTAAAATGGTTGTCAGAAGAGACTCTGAAACTTGCTCTTGAATCCAGAGTAGCTAAAGCAAACGGAAGAAACGATAAGATAAAAGATCTGAACAGAAGATTTCAAAGAGCAGGTCAAGAAGACAAAAACAATTATTATAATGAAATGTGCAAAGATCTGGAGTTTGAAAATGAAAAGGAAGAACATGTTCAGCATTTCTCAAGCTGAACAAACTGAAGAAAAAATTCAAGCCTCGAGTTGCAATATTGAAAGATTCTATGGGTAAAATATTGAATGATGCAGGAAACATGAAAATAAGATGGAAGGAATACACAGAGTCACTGTACCAAAAAGAATTGGTCGATGTTCATCCATTTCATGAGGTGGCATATGATCAAGAACCAACGGTATTGAAAGAAGAAGTCAAAGCTACACCTAAGGAATTGGGAAAAAACAAGGCTCCAGTAATTGACGGGATACCCAATGAGATGATTCAACAAATGGATGCTGCTCTGGAGGCACTCACTCGGTTAAGAGATTTGGAAGACAGCTACCTGGCCAACTGATTGGAAGAGATCCACATTTGTACCCATTCCAAAGAAAGGTGATCCCATGGAATGTGGGAATTATAGAACAATATCATTAATATTACGCAAGTAAAATCTTGCTGAAGATAATTCAAAAATGGTTGCAGCAGTATATTGATAGAAAACTTCTATAAATGCAAGCTGGATTCAGAAGAGGATGTGGAATGAGAGTTATCATTGCTGATGTCAGATTGATCTTGGCTCAAAGCAAAGAATACCAGAAAGATGTTTGCTTATGTTTTACTGCCTATGCAAAAGCTTTCAACTGCATGGATCATAACAAATTATGGATAACATTGAGAAGAATGGGAATTCCCGAACACTTAATTGTGCTCATGAGGAACCTGGGCATAGACCAGGAGGCTGTCATTCGAACAGAACAAGGGGATAATTCATGGTTTAAAATCAGGAAAGGAGTGGATCAGGGTTTTATCCTTTCACCATAGTTATTCAATCTGTATGCTGAACAAATAATCTGAGAAGCTGGACTATATGAAGAAGAATGCAGCATCAGGACTGGAGGAAGACTCATTAACAACTTGTGATATGCAGATAACACAACCTTGTTTGCTGAAAGTGAAGATGACTTGAAGCACTTACTGATGAAGATTAAAGACTACAGTCTGCAGTATAGATTACACCTCAACATAAAGAAAACAAAAATCCTCACAACTGGACCAATAAACAGCATCAGGATAAATGTAGAAAAGATCGAAGTTGTTAAAGATTTCATATTACCGGGTTCCACCATAAACGCCAATGAAAGCAGCAGTCAAGAAATCAGACGTATTGCACTGGCAAACCTGCCGCAAAATACCTCTTTAAAGTGCTGAAGAGCAAGGATGTCTCTTTGAAGACTAAGGTGTGCCTAACCCAAGGCACAGTGTTGTCAATCACTTCATACGCATGTGAAAGCTGGACAGTCAATAAGGAAGACCCAAGAAGGGTAGTTGCTTTTGAACTGTGATGTTGGCGATGAATACTGAAAGTACCATGAACTGCTACGTCATTGTTGTTGTTGTTATGTGCCGTCGAGTTGGCCCCGACTCATAGCGACCCCTCCTTGGGTTTCCGAGGCAGTATCACTACGGAAGTCTTCCGAGGAGTGGCTGATGGATGAACTGCTATAAGAACTAACAAATCTGTCCTGGAAGAAATGCAGCCAGAATGCCCCTTGGAAGCAAGAATGGCTAGACTTCATCCCAACTGCTTTGGTCACATTTTCAGGAGGGATCATTCCCTGCAAAAGGACATCATGCTTGGTCAAATGGAGG